TTGAACAATATGGGTCCAAGGACAGAGCCTTAGGGGACCCCACTGGTCACAGGACACCATGATGAGTGACTGCCATCAATTACTACCCTCTGGGTCCAACCATGGAGCCAATTTCCCAGCCAGTGGATCGTGGTGGACCCAAGGCCACAATTGGCCAGTTTTGCCAAGAGGTGATCATGGGATACCAGATAAAAGGCTTTTTTGAAGTCAAGATATATGACATCAATCTCTTCTCCCTTGTACAGGTGACAGGTCACCTGGTTGTAGAAGGAAATGAGATTGGTCAAGCAAGACCTACCTGCAACAAACTCGTGCTGGCTATCCCTTAGGATGTTGGTGTCGGCCAGTCCATTAAGGATAGCCTCTTTAATAAACTTTTCTAGCATCTTCCCCAGGATATAAGTCAGGCTGATGGGCGTATAGTTAGCCGGATCCACTGATCCTCTGAATCATGGTATACATGTAAGAGGTCTTGATGAATCTGATAGTAGCTGACAAGCCCAATTTCAGGGCAGGGCTGGCCTTAAGGAAAAAGGTGCTTTGGGTGAACTTATATTTTTGCCCGTGCCTAAGTCAGCAGCACTGCTGCAGGCAGAGGCTATGGCAAGTGGGCAGGGTTCTGGGGCTCAGTCTGGCAGGGAAGTGGAGCAGCATGGTGCTTCAGGCAGGTGAGTGGGTGGACAGGCACCACTGCTGCTGTGTGTGAGCAAGGTGGGCAGACTGGAGCAGGTGCCATACCACCTGCATGTGCCCAGCCCAGCTCCTTCTGAGCAGTGGTTGGAGGTTGGGGGCAGGCTGGGCTGGGCATTCCTCCTCCAGCTTGGAGTGGAGATTGATAGGCCCAGGCCAAGGCAGAGGGAGACTGATACTATGAGTGTGGGCTATTCACATGTATGTGTATGTATGTGGCACCCTCCCTGACCATGGCATCCTGGACAGTCGCACACATTGCTCACCCATAAAGCTGACCCTGTTCAAGAGTGACACAGCTTGTTACAGTGAGTGCGGCATGGCGCGGGGGAGCGAGCGCGGCCCCGTTCCCTGTGCGCTCTGGCCAGAGGCGCTGCCCCCTTTCCCGCACTGGAGGCTGTGGTGCGTGGAGCCCCCTGGGGGCAGCCACGGGGCGGGGTGGGGAGTGGGGCCACCTTGCAGCCAGTGGCCTGCTTCTGGGCACCGCTGTCAGCAGGTCCTGGGGGCGGCTGTGCCCTGAACAGGGGGACTCGAAGCCCCTGCAGCCCGTGTCAGGCTGAAGCCAGGGGCACAGGCCTTCCTGAGCTCAGATGTGCGGATGGTCTGACTCCGAGCGCAGAACCACGGCCCCCTGGCCAGAAGCCTCCGGGGTTCCTCCCAGCAGGCGCACTGGCACAGCCCAGCCCTGGGACAACCCAGATTGTTCAAATACAAAGCTGTAGTGTCATGTCCTACTTCTAGGAGGTTGAACCATATCCTACCCTTAAGGCCCCCCCTCCTCCCCCAGTCCCCTGGGGGTCGGCCAGAGAGAGTGCAGGGAAGGGCAGTGAAAACCCATGGGAGGGCTGGGGCACATGGCTTGTCAGGAGCTGAGGGAACTGGGCTTATTTCACCTAGAGAAGAGGAGACTTTAGAGGGGATTTAATAGCAGCCTTTAACTACCTGAAGGCAGGTTTGAAAGAGATTTAATAGACATTAGGGCTGGAAGGGACCTCAGAAGATCATCGAGTCCAGCCCCCTGCCCAAAGGGCAGGAAGTCAGCTGGGGTCAGAGGATGGAGCCAGACTGATCTCAGTGGTGGCAGATGACAGAACAAGGAGCAATGGTCTCAAGTTGCAGCAAGGGAAGTTTAGTTTAGGTATTAGGAAAAACTTTCTCACTAGGAGGGTAGCAAAGCACTGGAACAGGTTACCCAAGGACATGGTAGAAGCCTCATCCTTGGAGGTTTTTAAGTCCTGGCTAGAGAGAGTCTTAGCTGGGATGATCTATTTGGGGATGGTCCTGCTTTGAGCAGAGGTTGGACTAGATGACCCCCTGAGGTCCCTTCCAACACTCACTTTCTGTGATTCTGTTACAAGTTTCACAGATCCATGTGGTGTCTGAGTCGGAGTTCAAGTTTACAGGATGCTGCTCTCTTCTTTCTCACTTTGCTTCCATTCTCTAGATTAAAACCACTTTATGTTGAGCTGTACCCAGTGCCAGATGTTCTCTCCAGTTTGAACAGAATTCAGCATGCTGTTCCCAGCTTTCTATGTTGAATGACTTCATATAATTTTTGCACATATCATGGTACTACCACAGAGGGTGAAAGTGGTACCCCACTTTCTAGAGCCATCTCAGAACTCACTATACAAAATATTCTAGGGCATATGGTCTCCTCCCATTCTCCTGACATGGCTGTTCCATCACAACCTCCTCTCGATAGTGGTTTCTAAGTGTGTTAGTCCTGCACACTTCAGTACCTTTGTGTTTGATATTCTATCTTCCTACTTTATTTTAAAGATCTTATGCAGATATCTCATGTGGAAGCCGTTCAGTCTCTTGATGTGCCTAGCATATGTATTTCATGTTTCTGAACCGTAAAGCAGGGATGACACTACACAAGTCTTGTAGATTCGCATCTTCACCTTAGTTGATAGTTTGCTGTTATACCATGCGTGGTTCTGTAATAGCCCAAAATGATTGGCTGCTTTTCCAATTCTGTTAGTTCAGTCTGAAGGTCAAGATTTCTACTTGATTTCTTTGATCAGCAGGAATTGCACCTTCAGACGAAACTGACTAACAGAATCAGGGAAACAACTAAGAATTTCAGGTTAGATAATAGGATTGGATTATAATCCTTAGGATGTAAAAATGAAATTTATTCTTTTTTCAACTTTTTAAGTGTTAGTCAGTGTTTATTAATACATGGCAGTGGTAAGTATTTCTTTTACCTATATCATATCAGAATGGCATTTTAAAGGCTATTGTTGTTGAGGACATAGGATCTTATTGTTTCTCTTACTTTTTGTTTCAGAAAGATTAGGATGCATGTTCACACTAACAATAAAATAACACGAATTTACAATGTTATTGGCATCCTCAGAGGAACTGTGGAACCAGGTGAGGTTTGTTTGTATATACTTAGGATACTCTTATGTAGCTTGAGGTTCAACTTTGAGATTTGGAGAGGGGAAGGCTTGTTGGGTCATCCTGACACTGATCACAATATTCCCCAGAGACCTATAAAGTTTGGGTTTTTTTCTCACACTTTTTTTCAAGCCATATGGTTGTAAAAGGGACCCCCTACCCCTGTTACTAGTGGGGATGGGGAGGAAAGGCAGTTAAGAATAGCAGCACAGGTGGACTGAGCCCAGGATTGATAAGGCCAGGTGACTAATGAGCAACTGGCCACAACTGGTCACTGGGTGGAGTGGACCTAGTCATGTCTAGAAAGAGCTTAAGCTGGGGGATATAAGCCCAGGTGAGGACATATGGAGGGGCTTGCAGGAAAAGGAGTTCTGGAGAGCACAGGCACTGCTGGAGATAGACAAGCACAAAAGCCACCCAGGGCAGCTGGGGAAAAGACTCCTAAGCAGGTAAGGCCTGCATGCAGCATTTACCCAAGAAGGGAGACTACTTGTTTTCTTTTGAAGCAGCTGGCTTGTGTTTTTTTGTTTGGTTTAAGCTTGTGACCAGAGGACCAGGTTGTGGCTACAGGGGTGAAGGAGGCCATGACCAAGGTGCCAGGGTGTGTGATAGGGACTAGGAGACAGCCCCAAGCCCTGAGGCAGAAACTAACGTCCTGAGATGGAACCACAAGGGATGCTGGGGGAGTTTGATTTAACTTAAACCAGGAAGGGGTCTGGGACAGACACTGCATAAACTGGTTTGACCCAAATCAGTTAAGTCTGATACTACATTCAAGCAGGGTTATCTCAAACCAGTTTCAGCCATTTTCAAACTGGTTTACATGCCCTGAATGTCTGTTCTGTTACAGGTTTAAGCCAGTTTCTGATCACTTAAACCAGTTTATGTGTAACGTCTGTCCCTAGCCCTAATGTCTTGGACAGTGGACCAAGGTGGGGTGTGGCCACAGAAGAAAAGGGGGCCCAGGCTATTGTAGCTGAAGACCTAACAAGCTGTCAGAAACTCATGAGAGCAACCCCCTAAAGAGGGAGCACTGTGTGGGTGCAAGTGGATAAAAGACTCAGGTAGGGGGACTGGCCTGAGTAGACAGACTAAGCTACTCACAGGGCTGCTATTGGTCTGACTCCCCACTCCCTAACAACAAACAATATTAAAGTCATAGCAGGCAAGAAGGGGGAGGTGCAGGGAGGCTGGGAAAAGGAGCAGGCAAATAGGGCAGACCCTACCTGTATTACAGTGGTAATGATTTTTAGCAGCAGACCATGTAGGTACAAATCTAATAACCTGGAAAAACTGCAGAGTACTTTTGTATTGGCTTGTGAACTGCAGTAAGATCAGTAGGGAGCTACTGATTTTATTTTGAAAAAAGGCCTTAATGTATAAAGTTTAAATTAATTGGTAAGAAACCAAAAGAACTGACTGGAATTACAAGAAAAGATTAAAACTGAGAATACACGTGGGTTATCTGTATTCAAAATATTCTGTATGTCTGTTTCCAGACAGGTATATTATCTTGGGAGGTCATAGAGATTCCTGGGTATTTGGTGGTATTGATCCAACCACTGGTACAGCTGTTCTTCAAGAGGTTGCTCGAAGTTTTGGCAAATTGAAGATGGAAGGTAACTAATCTGTTGTAAATGGGAGAAGTAAATCCCAGGGGCTGGGGAAAACATAATTTCTGTGAGGCTATTTTTTTATCTGTGTGCATCTCTTTTTATTTGTGTGTATGCATGCATAAACCTGGGACACACAGGGAAATTCTTAAATGCTGTATTTACATACATAACATGTGCACCTTTTCCCTAAAAATCAGCTTCCTCAAAATTGAACTGTGTATCTTAAGTGGGGAAGCTAATTTTTCTTCACTGGAAAAGAAGCTAGTCTGGAGACACTGGGCGTGTCTCCATGAGATGCTATGTTACCATAGCAATGAGCTACGGTGACGTAGCATTGTTGGGCACTAACCATGCTGCTGCTGCTACTATGCAGTAGCTCCCATGTGCCACTGGGACTTGCTTTAGCAAGTACTAAGTGACTGCACAGTTGGGCTCACATGTAGATGCGTCCACTGGGCATGCCGTACAGTTACCAAGATGGCTGCTGCTTGTATCTGGCTTAGTAAGGAGAAGGGGCAGTCCCTTTCATAGCCACAGCCAAAGGCTCAGCATTGTAGTTTGTGCCTAGAGCAGTCCTTTCAAGGGTCTGAGGCCTAACCCTGTGTGATGTTAGATTAAGTTCTTCTGGAAACAGTCTGGACAAAGCAGTAGAAACTTTCTACTTACCTAGACTGTTTCCTGGGATGACACCCTGGCCATATCTACACATGTGCATTTAATTCACATTAGCCCAATTTTAAGGTGCATTAACAGCATGTGTCTACATATGTGCACCTTTAATGCACCTTAAAAACAGTGATTTAAGACTACTTGACCCTAAATTTGATACCTGCATAAAGCAGGTGAATAGTTAAATTGCATTAGCAAACATGTAGACATGCTAATGCACATTAATGCAGTGTGTGTCCATTGGCTTGGGACTATCTTTAGTCCCAAATTGCTCCACACACCCACATTAACGCTCATTAGCACATGCACATGTAGGCACATGCCTTAATATGCACTAGGCTAATGCACATTTAGTTTAGGTGTACATAAAAGCACACGTAGACACACCCTCTGTGTTCCAAAGAGGACTTATCCTACGTCACACAATCAGGCATGACTCTTTGGGGGGGGGGG